CAAGATTGGCTAGTAGTCAACAGAGCCCCACCATACTCTAGTTCCTGTGGAGGGGTCCTGGCCCATGGGCAAGGTAAGTAAAGAAATTTAAGAGCAGAGTGTAGAATGTTTTTCTGTTGCAGCTGATGTTAAAAAAAAAAACACCTGAGCTTTTATTTTGCATTTCATTTAAAAAAATTTTAGTGGATACCTAAAATATTTGTATAGTTGCACAAGGTAAGCTAGTGAGTTCAGTAAATCAATGCTTTGTTGGCTGTGGAAAGGGTTTACTTTTTCATTTTTATTTCATTCTCAGTAATTCTTTTTTTATTTTACTTTATAAAAGTATCCACACAAAACAAACTAGAAATTTAAGAACAAAAAATCAAAAATAGTCTGTTTCTCCAGCGATACTTTGCCATACTGTTGTGTTTTCTCTTGGTGGTGGTGGTGGTGGTGCTGGTGGTGGTGCTGGTGCTGGTGCTGGTGCTGGTGCTGGTGAGAGTTGTCTGAGACAAGGTTATATACGTTACACATCTCAGGCTGGCTTCAAACTCACTTTGCATCTCCAGCTGGCCTGGACTCCACGGTTCTCCTGCTTCAGCCTTCTAGCTCTTAGTATATGTGGTGTGCTGTCATGGTCAGTTGAGAGATCTGGGTTTTGTTTTGTGTATGATGTTTTTAGTTTTATTTTTTTTATATGTATGAGTGGTTTTCTAAATGTATGTATGTGTACCATGCATGCGCTTGGTGCTTGTAGAAGTCAAAAGAAGTCATCAGATCCCCTGGAACTAGAGTTCTAGATGGTTGTGAGTCACCATGTGGGTGCTAGGAACTGAACCCTGGTCCTCTGCAAGAGCAGTACTTGCTCTTAACCATTAACCATCTCTTCAGACCCTGAGATGCCTAGTTTTGATTCCTGTTTTCATCTATTCAGAAACATTGTGACATTTCATTAGACTATTGGTACCCAGGACAATAGCCACTCCCCATAGATGCCAGCCTGAGTGATATAAGGGTAAAACACTCACCAGATTTCAATGACTATGAAAAACTATGTGCAAATCCTTCATTTTTTTTAGTAGCCATGTGTTTGAGACAATAATATTTGGTATATAGTTTGGTTAGTGTCTTAATTACTGTCCTATTGCTTTGAATAAACACCATGACCAAGGCAATTTATAAAAGAAAGTGTTCACTCACTCAGGGACTTGCTTTCAGTTTCAGAGAGATAGTCTATGATCATCAGATCATCATGGAGGGCAGTGTGGTGGCCGACAGCTATGGTGCCGGAGCAGCAGCTGAGAGCTTACTTCCTGGTCCATGGGCAGTAGGGGGGAGAGAGAGAGAGAGAGAGAGAGAGAGAGAAGAGAGAGAGAGAGAGAGAGAGAGAGAGAGAGAGAGAGAGAGAGAGAGAGGTGGTGGTAGGGAAGGAGGGAGAGAGTAGGAGAGAGAGAGACTGAGCCTGGCATGGGCTTTTGAAACCTCAAAGCCCACTCCCAGTGACACACCTCCTCCAACAATGCCTTATCTTCCTAATCCTTCCCAAACAGTTCCACCAACTGGGGACCAAGCATTCAAAAATGGGCCTATGGGGACCATTCACATTTAAACCACCACAATTAGATACAGTATATTCTCCAGATTTCATTTCATAAGAAAGGAAGTATACTGGAGATGAAGGATGGCAGTGGTCACAGCATCACAAGCATGTTTTATATCACTCAACTTTCACTTAGGAATCCTACAGCTGAGTACCTGTATGTGCAGGGGCAGGCATACCTGAATGCATAGTGCATATGCTATTTTTAAAGACAATTTTTATTTATTATTTGACAATTACTCACAAATATATGTATTTTGGTCACGTTCTCCCTTCATTACCTGCTCTTACTCTCTTTCCATCCCCTCTGAACCCCTTATTCCTCTGATGTATTTTCCTCCTACTCACATGTCTTTCTTTTTAAGACCAACAAAATAATTTTTTATTTTTTGCATATGTATGAATGTGGTGCACTTGTGTATATGTGTATGGATGCACACACAATGGGGTACATACATATGTGTGAGTACATGTGTGTAGAGAATGGAGGTTGACATCGGGTATCTCTCTTCCTGTTCACCTTACATACTGAGCCCAGAGCTTGCTGAGTTAGTTGGTCTAGCTAGCTAGCTTGCTCCAGGAATTCCATCTCTGCTTCCTGGGTACTGGGGTGATAAGTGAGCCATAATGCTTGCTTGGCATTTACATGGCTTTTTCATGGGCACTAGGGATCTGAACTCCAGTACTCACTCTTGTATAGCAAGCATTTTACCCACTGTGCCAGCTACCAGGCCTCCAACTAAGTTTAATAAGGGTTGCTTACTAGTAACTTACCAGTGGGCACACCAATGAAGAAAACAGCTCCCCCATACACACTCTACCCCTCCATCATGCACCCCTTCCTACCAGCCACCATTAGCTGCCAATAGCTCCTCCAGGCTAGAGGCTGCTATCTACAATGACATGTTGATGGGCTCCATCTTGTGGAGGTCTTAGGCAGGTAATCATGTGACAGCGGTGAGTTTATAACTGCCATGTCACGTCTTGAACTCTGCATTTCGTAGCAGTCCACCCCATCCTCTTGCTGTGGGATAATGCTTGTGTACACTGGTTTAATAAAATGCTGACTGGCCAGTAGCCAGGCAGGAAGTATAGGTGGGATAAGCAGACAAAGAAAATTCTGGAAAGAGGAAGGCTGAGTCAGGAGACACCAGCCCGCCGTCCAGGGAGCAGCATGTAATGACACACAGGTAAAGCCATGGAACACGTGGCAACATATAGATTAACAGAAATGGGCTGAGCTTAAGTGTAAGAGCTAGTCAGAGGAAAGCCTGAGCTAACGGCCAAGCAGTTTTAAATAATATTAAGCCTCTGAATGATTATTTTATAAGTGACTGCAGGACTATGAGTGAGAGAGATTTATCTGGACTGTCCTGGGCCAAGCAGGACACTGGAAAACTTCCAGCTACATCCTCTGGCTCTTGCATTCTTACTGCCCTCCTCCCCCCACCCCTGGGATGTTTCCTGAGCCCAGAGGAGGTGATCTCCTGTTTAGGGCTGAGAACTCAGCAGTCACTTATTCTCAGAACTTTGGCCAGTTCTGGGTCTCTCCAGTTCTGAGTCTCTCCAGTAGCTGCTGCCCACTGCAGAAGGCGGCTTCTCTAACGAAGACTGAGAACATTCATAGTCTATGGACTTATTGCTCAGTTTCCCTGCTTCTATACGTCTCCACCTCAGGAGCTGTTCATCTAGCAAAACTGGGCTATACTTGATAAAAATTCTTCTTAAATGTATACGTCTCATCCCGCTTTCACTTTTCAAGCAGTGTTTGCTTAGGTCTCTGTGGTGTTTCCAACCTTTTGTGGTCTTGCCTCATTACCTTGCCCAGGACTTCAGGGGTCATAGTCTACAGAAGTGTTAGGAGCAGATGTCTTCGTCTTTGCTTAGTCCAAGGGGAAGACGCTCAGTATTTCTGTGCCAAATGTTAGCTGTGCTTGTAGGCTTATCACGCAGCATTTATCAGATTGTGATATTTCCTCTAGTCACTTTACTGAGAGTCTTCATAATGAGTAGGTGGATGGGTGCATAATTCATTTCTCTGTTTTACTCCGACTTTAAAATGTAAAGTGTCATATTTCTAGAATAAATGCCATTTAGGTACAATGTGATAACTGTATAGACTTTCTCAGTTGTGTATTCATAATTATCAAATTTGACATGTAAAGTGCTCTAAAATCTGAAACTTTTACAAAACCGTGAAGTGTTCGAAGGTCTTGTTTTGAGTTTGGGGTCAATGAGATGGCTCGGCAGGTAAAGTCTTGTCCCCAAGCCTGACCTTCTGAGTTCAATGTCTGAAACCCACACGGTGGTAGGAGAGAACAAACTCCCAAAAGTTGTCCTCTGATCTCCACACACCTGCCACAGCAGGCATGCACATGGTCTCACACACACACACACACACACACACACACACACACACACACACACAAAATGTAAACAAAAGTTTTATATTTCATGACATCAGATACACAAATAATACTGTACCACGTCCAGTTGGACTTAATCTCAGGAATATGTGATCTGTCTGACACTTAAAACATTACAAACATATTTGTAGGTTCACATTTTTTTCATGATCAAGATCCCCAGCCAGCTAGGAATAGAAAGCAACACCCTTAACCCAAAAGGTACATTCACAAGAGGCACCAAGGAAGCAGCCCTCACAACAGTGCAAGCCACCCACTGAGACTGTAGGTAAGACCAGACCGGGCTGGCCTGAGCCAAGGCTTCTGTGCACTACCTGAGGGCACGCTAGTGCCGCGGGCTTAGAGGGTGAACTCAGCGTCCACACCGACTAGGAAGAAACCAAACTGTCTGTGCTGAACACGGTAAGAATTCTTATGAAGTTAACAAAGTCAAGCAAAACCTCCAGTTAAAAGAATTTCCAAAGGTCACCGGAGCCAAAAATCCAACTTATGATTCACTTGGAAATGTAGTTTCTTATACAAGGACTTTAAGAATATGATGAAAATGTAACATACTTATAAATAAATCTTTTTAAAGCCCTGACTGGAGAAAATTGTTTATTTGTATTAAAGAATAAACAAAGTTAATATAGATAATAAGCTATTCTTAGATAGAAAGACTTAATATTCTAGAGATGTCAGATTCCCCCAGTTCCAGTACTGCCCCCCATAACAGCTTTCTCTGCCAACGCAGTAAGCTAGAGCAAGCTAAATTGAAAAAGTATAACAACAGGTTTATTTGAGCAAAGCAACTCCCAAGTCAGTTCCCCAGTCCCAGAGATCAAGGCCAGAGAAGCCGCATCCTAGAACTAAAGGAGGGACACTTTATAAGTTGTAGTCATGGGGTGATGACATGTCCCCTACAAGCTGGGTTTGTGCCCAAGTGTGCTCAAAAACTGGGCTCTCAGGCAGGGCTTTGGGCGGAGGCAACTTCAGCGGAAGAAGCTGCAGTAGCCGCCAAGAATGTGGAACTGGCTTTTTGGTGCCTTTCCTTTGTCCAGAGGCTCTCCGAGTGGGCAGGGTATGGAGAGAGAGAGAGACAGGAATGGGGCTTTCTAGATCTCACGAGGGGGAGCTAGAGGTTCCAACCGAACAGAAGGTATCACCAATCCCACCCCAAACAGCATCCAGACTGGTTCTGAGTGAAGCATGGGAACCATTGTGTGGTCTGTAGATTATTCTTTTCCAGGCTGGGACCAAATATCCGACAAAGCAACTGAAGGGAAGAAGAATTTATTGGGGCTCATGGTGTGGGGGCTCAGTGTATCAAAGGTGGAAAAGGCAGGGACCGTGGCTGGTGGGAGTCGCAAGGATATGACGTCAGCAGCGTGAAGCTGTCTGCTCACGTCTTTGTGGAGGCAGAGACAGGAAAGATAGCAGGGATAGGAGCCAGGGAGATGGTTCATCCAGTAAAAATGCTTGTCGTGAAAGCCTGGCACTTTGAGTTCAATCTCTGAAACCAACATTAAAAAGCTAGATGTGGTAGCCTGCATCTCTAATCCCAGCACTCCTATTCCAGGAAAGGGAGTCGGGGCAGGAGGGACACCTGGCCGCCAGCGTGGACTCTGCAGCATGGCAGCACCATCAGGAGAGACCCTGACTCCACAAGGTGGAAGGTGAGAACCAACTCCTGAAAGCCGTCCTAAGTTCAGGGTCACAAAGAAAAAGACCACCATTCCCACTGAAGGATCGGGACAGGGCAAACTACACTCTTGATCAACAGTGTGTGCTGGGGAAGACCGAAGACTCAGACGGGAGGTGCATTTGGCTTTTACTCTACCTCAGATGGTGGCTGTGTCTCTTCCCCATTAGCTAGGGTCCGACCGCACAATCTTATTCAGTCGCCTAGTCTGAAAAGTATTGGCACACAGGAAACGAAAGAAGAAGGGGAAGGGTCACTGCTCCGGGCCATCAAATTCCTAGAATAGAGCCCTGGACCTTTGAGTAAACAAAGGTTTTCCTGGGTGGGGAGGATTAAAACATTTGCGTAAAAGTCTAACAAGGTGGGGGAGATATAAAGATTTTAATCCCTCATCCTAAATACAAGTTTTACGGTATTTTGTAGACAAGACTCAGAGTTGATATTTCTTACAGGCTGTTAACCTTGAGGTCCCCCCAAAGCAACCCTTCTGTCTGGTAGACACTGCAGCATCCACAACCTTTTAAAACAGTGCCCCCTGCTGGAGCAATCAAACAGGGCCTTTTACATCGAACCACAGAACAGTCTATATTGCTCTAGAATCAGTGGACACAGAGGAGAAAAATGATCATTTAATGAGCTTCTAGAAAGTTCTGTGGAGCCGCTATTTGAGAGCCAAAATGCAGATGTGCCTCTGCCTTCTTCTCGGAGAACATCAGCCCTCTCTCTCCAGCAGAGTTCCTGCTCACCACAGCAACACTACCTAGAAAATAGGAGAAAATGTTTCTGGAGATTAAAACCCCCCAAAGCCGCCCTGTCTTGGACATATTGAGCGGCATTATGACAGAGACACCACATAGCCACCCCTCCACCTGCCTTCTCAGCTGACCGGCCTCCTCTGCCCAGAGAAACTGCCCCTCACTGGGACTGAAGCAGACACAGAATGCTGGGAGACCGGGAGGATTCTCCTAAATGAGGAACCGGCCAGTCCTTTATTACACATCACACCATCACAGGAGATGTGTTTCCATTGCTCTGACAGACATTATGGTTCTGTTTCTAAAATTTCTGTTAGTAGACAAAGTAATGGGTTTCAGCGGGACATTCTCATACAGACTTACCATTATGCGTTGCTCTGACTTTGTCCCCACTGCCCTTTCCTCTCCCTCAACTTCTTCCCCCACAAACAGACCCTCCTGCCTTCAGGTCACACATAAGCCAGTACCCTCGCTTGTTCCCCTCCCCGACTCCACTGTAAAACCTCCTCCCTTCTCATCCCCCTGCCCTCTCTCTTCCTCCCTCCTCTCACGGTCTTGCTCTTGCTCTTCACACACACACACACACACACACACACACACACACACACACACACACACACACACACACACAACTTAAATCTAGACACTCCATGAGAGAAAACATGTATTTGTCTTCTGAGTCTAGCTTATGCTCTCCAGTTCCACACATTTCCCTCAAATGTCATAATTTCATTCCTCTACGCTGAGTAATGGAATCGAGGTCACAGTGAAACCGCCAAACTGGACCACTTCGTGGGTAGAATGCCTCTTGTGTAGAACATCCATCTATGAAATTCTCTGCTATTATAGATTCATATGCCTTTAGTTATCGCCTGAAATCCTCCTCTATCTTTGGGTTCCGATGGTCATTAGGAATCTTAGCCAGATCCTAGAGTTGTTCATTATGCATGCTTATTTATTTTCTTTGTTGGTGTTGGAATGCAGTAGTACTCTTTCAACCTTGTCTTCAGTCTAGGATTCTCTTCCTTCTCTTGGTTGGCTCTCTTAGTGATGTTTTCCACTTTTGTTTGTTTGTTTTTTTGATTCATTGAACCTTTCATTTCCAACACTTCTTTATCAAAATCTCAATTTCCTCACAAAATTTTTCTTCCATTTTGCTGATATTTCCCCCCACATTGATCTTCCCACCCAGTTTTCTGTCTTTTTGCTCTGTGTCCTTGACTTCTCCTTTCAGAGAATTCATCTGCTTGTCTGTATCCTCTTCTGGATCCCTGACCATTTCCATCTGCTTGTCTGTATCCTCTTCTGGATCACTCACCATTTCCATCTGCTTGTCTGTATCCTCTTCTGGATCACTCACCATTTCCATCAGCTTGTCTGTATCCTCTTCTGGATCACTCACCATTTCCATCTGCTTGTCTGTATCCTCTTCTGGATCACTCACCATTTCCATCTGCTTGTCTGTGTCCTCTTCTGGATCACTGACCATTTCCATCAGCTTGTCTGTGTCCTCTTCTGGATCCCTGACCATTTTCATCTGCTTGTCTGTATCCTCTTCTGGATCCCTGACCATTTTCATCTGCTTGTCTGCATCCTCTTCTGGATCACTCACCATTTCCATCTGCTTGTCTGTATCCTCTTCTGGATCACTGGTCTTTTTCACTAGTAAATTTTTGAAATATTTACCAGGCATCGTGAGGATTGTCAACCACACAGGACCTAGAGCCATCTATCAGTGAAATCTCTGTAGGTGTCCCTAAAGGAGTTTCTAGATTAAGTTAATTGAGGTTGGAGGGACCACCCTGAGCTTGGGCAGTACCATTCCATGGGCTGGGGTCCTGAACTAAAGTAGAAAGCAGGCTGAGCACCAACATCTCTCTCTGCTTCCTGATTGCAGACACGGTTGTGATCAACTGCCTCATATACCTACCACCATGACTTCCCAGTGGATGATACTCTCAAACAGTGAGCCAAAATTATTCCTTCCTTTTGAAGTTGCTTTTGCCTGGTATTTTGTTACAACAATGAGAAGAATAATGAGTGCAGGCATTTTAACCCATTTCTGTATCTTTGAATACAAGAGTTATTATCTTTGGAGGAATCATGCTGACATGCTTTTTCACATTTTCTTATGTGTCTTTGGTATAATTCACACATATGTTGGTTTGGACATCTCTCCTGGTCACCTTTGGGGATCATCTTATTGAGCAACCTACTCTTGAGGGCTCAATCCCAATACTAGTGAGACAGGAGAACACAAAGTGCTTTAGAACAAGGCTTCTGTGTCTCCTGGTTCTGATTACTAATACCCAGCTGGATTTTATTGCTGCATAGGTAAGCCATCATGGAGTCAGAGCTTTGCTGCGTTGATATATTATGCTGCAACTTTTACTAGCCAATATTACCATTCAAGTCATTTCTAAGCTTTTCCTGACCAAGACTGGTTATTGATATTATTTTCTTAATTACAATTATAACTTTCTTATAGATTAATAGTTATGTCAAGAGATAATATTCATGAGCTGGAGAGATGGTTCAGGAGATAAGAATACTTGCTGCTCAAGCATGGGGATCTGAGTTCAAATCCCAGGCATCTATGTAAAAAGCTGGGCTTGGTTACAGATGCTTGTCACTCCTGTGGAGAAGATGTAGACAGGAGGATTGCTGGAGTTTGCTGACTGCTATCCTAGTTATAGGTCCAGCGAGAGACCCTGTCTCAAGGGAATAAGGTGAAGAGTGATAGAGCAGGACACCTGATAACATTCTCTGCCTTCCATGTACACACAAGTGCATATACCTACACACACATGTTCATACACTCATATACAATACTACAATGGATATTGTATCAAAAATGTAATCTAGTTTATTGATGCATCTTAGGACCAAGTTTTAACTATTTCACACTGTTTGAAGCATTGTGTTACTAGTGACATATCTAAAATTTATGTAATGTTGTCATTACTATACCCAATATTGCTACAGTTAAAGCAATATCCACCACTGCTTTGTTATTCTTTTCACATATCAATGTTATTAGGGGAGCACATGTTGTGGGATATTTGTACAGTGTGAAGATGTATTGCTGTGATTGGTATAATAAAGAACTGAACAGCCAATAGCTAGGCAGGAGAGAATAGGCAGGACTTCCAGACAGAGAGAGGACTATGAGAAGAAGAAAGACAGATTCTCCAGCAAGATGCAGGGGAAGGAAGATGCACAGTACAGAGATGAGATAATGAGCTACGAAAAACAGAGATTAAAAAATGTGGGTTACCTTAAGTTATAAGAGCTAGTTGGAAACAAGCCCAAGCTAAAGGCCAAGCTTTCATAATGAATAAGGAGTTTCCATGTCATTATTTGGGGGCTGGAAGTCTTGACAAAAGAGTACAACTACAATCATTTTTCTATGTTTTCATTGCTTGCAGCGTTCTTTCATTAAAATGATCTGGGTTGGGTGCATGCCTCAGCACATACATAGTGTACAGAAGACCCTGAGTTTAGTCCCCTCAAAAGTAAAAAGTGAGCAGAGTATTCCAATCAGAAACAGCTTTCTGAGGAAGAAAGCAGACACTGATACAGACACACAAAATTACTTTTCATTAAACCTAAAAATATATAAAATATCCAAATCTGAGGCTTCTTGCTATCTAAACTAGAATGTTTTATATAAAAAAATTATCTTTTAAGATTTTATTTGTGTATGTGTGTGAGCCCCACATGCATTCAGGTCCCTGTGGAAGCCAGAATAGGATGTAAGATCTCCTGGAGCTGGAGTTACAGGCAGGTGTGAGCTACTTGACATGGGTGCTGGGAACCAAACTCAGGTCCTCTACTAGATCAGCAAGTTCTCCTAACTGCTGAGCCATCTCTCCAGCTTCGAGATTATTTAAAAATTAAAATGAGTAAATATAATTTCATACAAGGAGAGTGAAACACAGGACAATTTGAATAATAAATCATCTTTGCAGATGAAAATTTAACAAAAATTAAAATGAAAGGGCTCAAGAGATGGCCCAATGGCCGAGAGCAGGTGTTGCTCCTGCAGAGGACCTGGGATTGGTCCCCAGCGTCCACACAGTGGGTCACAACCATTATAAACTTCAGTTTTGGGGGATTCAATACATCCTTCTGATCTCAGCAGGTACTAGGTATGTACTGGTGCACAGACATACACGCAGGCAGAACACTCGTGCACACAAAGTAAATCCAAAAATTCAACAACAACAATAATAACAAAATCAAACAACCCCAAATCCTTCCAACTACACTTTTTTTTTTCCAAGACAGGTTTTCTCTGTTAGCCTTGGCTGTCCTGGAACACACTCTGTAGAAGACAAGGCTGGCCTCAAACTCACAGAGATCCACCTGCTTCTGCCCCCACGTACTTGGATTAAGGGCTTGTGCCACCACCGCTCAGCTCCCAACTACACTTTCAATTGCTCTGTTTTCTGATTAGCATTTAGAATGCTGCTCAAGTTTTCTTCCTTTGTCATTGAACATAACAAGAAGTCCACAATAAACTAGAATTACACAATTATTTTCTTGAAACACTGAAAGTAGCTTAGTAGAAATTGGTATTTGTTACCATTCAAAAGTAGTTTTTCCCTTCTTTCCTTTAGTTGGAGAAAAGACAAAAGACCTTACTTGTTACAGTCAGAGAATCCCAAGCATGAAGAAAACACAAAAGATGACCTTACTTATTACAATCAGTATAAAGCTGTTTTATTTTACATTATGCTTTTAAGAAAACCCACAGAATGTCTTTCTTCTGTTATGATTAGTAGCTTTATCATAATTAAAAATACATGCATATCAATGTTATTGCAGCATTAGTCACAATACCAAAAGTAAGGAACCAACCTGTCTGTCTTAACAGCCCAGAAATGGATGAAGAAAATGTGGTACATACACACAATGTGATGTTTTTCAGCCATAAAGGAGGAAATTATGCCACTTGCAGTAAAATGTAGACAATCATATAAAGCAAAACTTAAGCCAGTCCCAAAAGAAGAAATGCATTTTCTCTCATGTGTAGTTTTTAGATTTTATGTAGATACATTAAATCATGTGTATGCTTATGTCATAGCGAGGAAATACTGGACCAAGGCAAGACTGAAAACCGGCTGGGCAAACTCCAAACTCTGCATCTCCATGTCTGATGTCAAAATGCTCTTCAGATCTCCAACTCCATTCAATTTTGTAGACTGCAACACAGTTCTTTCTCTTTCTCTTGGGCTGGTTCCACTCCCTCTTAGCAGCTCTCCTTGGCAAGTATCCCATGATTCTGGCATCTCTAACATCTTGAGGTCTCCAAGGCAATCAGGCTTCAACTTCACAGCTTCATGCAATGGTCTATCTAGGCTTCAATTCAGGGACACCCTTGACACAGGCTGGACTCAGTGACTGTCCTTAGTCTTGGGGGCAAATTCCACAACCTGTTTCTTCTGTCTTTAACTCTAAAGCCAGAACCATGTGGCCAAAGCTGTCAGGTTCTGTGGCTTGCTGGGGCTGGAACATGACCCTCTCATTCAATGACATTTCCACCAGCTTTCTGTCCTTTACTGCCTAAGCTTGGCTGTCCTGAAACTGGATCTCTAGGCCAGGCTGGCCTCAAACTCAGAGATCTGCCAGCCTCTGGCTTCCCAGGGCTGTGATAAAAGGCATGTGCCACCACACCCAGCTCTAAGTTTTTCTTTAGTTCCTTTTCACAAGTTGGAAATTTAGTAGAGTGGGATCTTGCCCAGAGGTCACCACTCCCTTTATTCCATTTCTTAATCCAGTTATCTCCTTGAACACAGGACTTAGCTCTATTCCACTTTCGGGTGCTCTTTTTCTCCTCAAATATTTTTCCTTGCTCAGCTTGCTCCTTTTCATCATAAATCTTCATCAGCATTAACACTAATAACCACACAACAGAGTCTATACTAGGCTATTCCTAGATTTCCTCTGCCAATGGAATTAATCCAAAACTCTTCACTTTAGCCTCAGGCAAACTTTTCAGACAAGGGCAAAAAGGAGCCACGTTCTTCACCATAATATCACAAGACCCATCTCTAGGCCACACACTAACACTATTCTCCTCTGAAACTCTTGATTCTCACAGTTCATCAAATCACATTTCAGCACCACTGTCTTCCATGCTCCTGCTAGCATGCCCATTAAGCAATGCTTAAAGCATTTCACTGCTTTCCTAACCCAAACTCCCAAAGCCCATATTCTTTCAAACAAACAAACAAACAAACAAACAAGAAAAGCTCAGGACTATCACAACAATACCCCAGTCCCTGGTACCAACTTCTGTCTTAGAGTTTTTATTGCTATGAACAGACACCATGACCACAGCAACTCTTATAAAGGAAAACATTTAATTGAGGTGGCAGTTTACAGTTCAGAGGTTCAGTCCATTATTATCATGGCAGGGAGCATGGCAGAGTGCTGGCCGACATGGTGTTGGAGAAGTAGCTGAGAGTCCTACATCTTACAGGCAACAGGAAATCGACTGAGACACTGGGCAGTATCCTGAACACAAGAAACCTCAAAGCCCACCCCAACAAAGACACACTTCCTCCAACAAGGCCACACCCACTCCAACAAACCCACACCTCCTAATAGTGTCACTCCCTATGAGATGAGATTATGGGGGCCAATTACATTCAAACTCCCACAGTATAGAAAGAAAAGTGAACCTTTCTAGGGGGCAAAGAGGACTAATAGAAGAGTAAGGGTAAGAAATGGCTTGGAGGATGTGAGAGGGAATACAAATATTTGCATAAAATATATACTTGTACAATATATACTTGTATGAAAAAATTTTACAAACCCATATCCTCCATAAATCATTCTAAACTTTTTTGTGTGTCTATTATACAACAATTTTTCATTAAGGTTTCTTTTGTTTTTAAGATGGGGTCTTACTGTGTAGCCCTGGCTGGCCCTGAACTCACAGAGATCCAACTGCCTGGGCCTCTGTAGTCCTGGGATTAAAAGCATAGGTTACCATACCTATTATTATTTTAATGGTTACATTTTATTAAGCGTTTTATTATGTTGTCTTACTCTTTTTAGATGCAGATGACATATATTCCCTATATTTTGGAGTTTAATATAAAATCAGGTAAATTTTAAAGTTATCAGCTTGTTTAAAAAAATGTTCTTCTACACAACTAATAACCATTTACAATTTTTAAGTTACATATAATTTACAGGAGTATCAACAACACGAGAGAGTATGAATAAATGGAACATTTTTTGTGAAGCCTGTTCTCCAAAAGGTGTCGGATCATGCTGAAAGAAATTCAAAGCTGAACAAAGGAGTGATAAACCTCCTTCGTGGCTCAGAAAATGCATGCTAAGATCTCACAACAGCCAGGCATGGGGATGCTGTATCCAAGCACTGGAAAGGCAGAGCAGGCGACTTCAAGTTCAAGGCCAGCCTAGGCCACACAGAGTTCAAGGCTAGCCTAAGTTACATAGCAAGACTATCTCAAAAACCAAAAAGCAAACTAAAAAAGAAGTTGGTACCTGCCCCCAGTCACTACCATCCTTCAGCATGGCTTCATTTCCCAAAGGATCTGAAATCTCCTCAGCCACCAACCGGGGACCAAGTGTTCAAATATGTGAGCCTATGGGGACATTTCTGACTGAAACCAGCACAATCCTTTCTTGTTTCAGTTGATCCCACCACCACTGACTAAATAGAAACAGAACTCACTGAGCAAAAGTTATCTACAGGGTTAAGACAAGTATACACTTTTGATCTTTCTGATACATTTCCTTAATTTCACCTCTATATTAAGCTTTTAAATACTATTATCTTTTTTCTCCATTGGTATGTATTAATTATACAAAATTCTAGGTTTCATTATGACATTTTCATCATGTACTTAAAGTATTTTGGTCATACTCACACACCACCACCACCACCACCCCATGATTGACATGTGGGGTCCCAGCTCACTGTAGACTGTGCCACCCTGGGCATTTCCTGCCCCTGCTTCCTTCAGTGGTGGACGATGATAAGGAAGAGTAAGCCAAATAAAGCCTTTTCTATCCAAGTTGCTTTTGGTCATGGTATTTATCGCAAAAGTGAAAGTGAACTAAAAAAGAAGTTGGTGCCTGCCCCCAGTCACTACCGTCCTTCAGCATGGCTTCATTTCCCAAAGGATCTGAAATCTCCTCAGCCACCAACCGGGGGCCAAGTGTTCAAATATGTGAGCCTGTGGGGACATGTCTCACTGAAGCCAGCACAATCCTTTCTTGTTTCAGTTGATCCCACCACACTGTAGATCGGACGGTTCGTAGGGGTGGCTGTGTCCTTTCAATATGTCCATCCATTGTGGACAATGTGGATATGAATCTGATTTTTTCCTTCTCAGCACTGACACAGGCTGGTTCCAGAAAGTTCTCTGTAGGCAGCCTACATAGGAAAGAAGTTCTCTGCCTCTTTTCAACTGTGACTGATACACCCGACTCCTTATGGGAACGATCATTATTTTCAGCTTCTAGGAAATAGGTGGCAGCCCAAGTGATTGGTTTACAACATGGCTACAAGCATGTTCCTCCTAAGCCAGTAGGAAGTCATAAGTTTAAGGATGATTACACAATCACTTTTGCCTCTTAATGCTACCAAGTCAAGTGAGTGACAGCTCACGTTCATAGGCTACAATGATACTCGAGGGAAATTAGACAGGGTGTATTCTACAGGGACTGGAAACCTTGCAGGCCAGCAGAAACCCTGGTCCCCATGTTGTGCGTACGTTTGAATCTTCCTTTTAGAATCTAAAGACCTGGAACGCAAGCTGAGCCTTGAAACTTCCCTTGCCAGCATTTCCTCAGTCCTAGTACAATCCCGGGCTGTGATTGTGAAAGGGTAAAGGAAAAGGAGTCATGTTTATCGATCACCACACGTGTGGCCTCTGTCTAACTTTCCACACTGTAGCAAGGAACCACATTCAAAGCAAGGAGGCGCTGTGAGGAACATGGGACCACAGCTGAGTGCACTTGCTCATCCGAACGTCTGACATCGTGCTGAAAGGCTGGAGGTATTAGTTCTAGAACGTTCCTCTGTGTGATTGGGTATGCTTCTGATGGCCTTAGAAAACATGGATTCGGTATCTCTCAATGTTGCATGAACTTTTAATTTTTAAAACAAAACAGATTTTAGCTGCACAGGATTTAAAGCAGACTGTAGCTCTGTAACTACATTTAAGGGCTAAAGTATTTCCTCTTGAATCATGATCCACATATTTTATTAATCTAGGAATAAAATTTACCCCAGGGTGGTACTGCACATACTTAATCATAGTCAAATCTTTCTTCATCTAGAAGATCAAATATAGCTAATATGGCTTAGAAATGGGAACTACAAAAAGCTTTAAAATGATGCCACATTTACATTCAAACGCCACCTAACACAACTTCCACCCTGCAACCATAGGGGCTTTGAAGCATCATTGTCTTTTCCCAGAGCTATCAAGATAAGAACAAAAGGACTTCAGTTTTCCCATGATTTTATTAAATATGTAGACTTTCAACAGTGCTAAGAAATATGTAGCACATGACAATTATAGATGGAAAACTAAAATAAAGCACCTTTTTTTATTCTGTTGTCTCAACAGTTGTAGGCCAGTTATACAACTGAAAACAAAAAATATGAATTGGTCATACATTATAGAACTGACTCATAAAATATACAAACATCTCAAGTATTTCACCTGTGTAAAAAATGCATTGAAGTCTTTGTTGTGCCATATGGTAATAGGATGGAGAAGGTTCAAGGGTGCTTGAAGTACAAGTTAAAGGACCTGAATTGGAATCCTCAGCACCCACAGAAAAAACAGGTTGCATGCCTGCAACCCCACTGTTGGGGGACAGGGACAGGTTGTATACCTGCAACCCCAGCGTTGGGGGACAGAGACAGGTTGTATGCCTGCAATCCCAGTGTTGGGGGACAGGGACAGGCTGTATGGCTGCAACCCCAGAAGTCAAAACAGCAAGCCTTACATTTTGTGAGAGAACCTCCCCCAAAGGTAAGGTATCGTCCTCTGGCATCACATGTCACATACAGCACATGTCCCCCTCCCACAATAAAACAAATAATAAAAAGATATCTTAAGAACTTGGGCTAAATATTAAAAAGAGATTTTCTAATGCCTCTTTTTAAAGATTTATTTCTTTCTAATTTTATGTGTATGAGTGTTTGCCTGCATATATAGAGGCCATTGGGTCCCTGGGACTGGAGTTATAGACGGTTGTGAGTGGCCATGTGGGTGCTGGAAATTGAACCCAGGTCCTCTGTGAGAGCAGAAAGTACTCTTAACGGCAGGGCCATCTCTCCAGCTGCTAACCGCTCTCTTATAAATCTTAACATTTTTAAGAAGAACTAAAATGCTTCGTTCTTCATCTTTGCCAAGACAAGTATTTTTTAAAAATGGAAGAAAACGCCTATTTCCCCGGTTGTTTGGAGTGTCTCAGTGTGGCTGGGCACTTGTACACATTCACACATGGCACACACTCAGCCTTGAGTTGAGACGGGCGGAATCCTCTGAGAAAAACCACAGGCCAGAAGTCAGTTTGGCAATGCTGGATTTCTACGGGAGGGCACATTCCCTGCCTTGGCGGGTGACAGAGTGGGCTTTGCTCCAGTTCAATGTTTGCACTGGATCCATGAGAACAGGCTGGTGATGAGAGAGCCCTGGAGTCTCCTCACGCGGAGGGGAAGTCAGTGAGCAGCACACACTCCTAAACAGGAGCCAGGAACCGGGGTTCAAACCTCAAGGGTTTCCGGTAAAAACAGAGCAGATAGGTAGTACCTACCACCTCTCTCCACCACCTCTGTCGCTACAAATGAGAAAAAAAAAATGGGCAAAACAAAAGTCAGCAGCTTGGAAGTGTCGGAATGCTACAAGGAGTCTGAGAAGTAAACTTCTGCAGGAAGATACATGGAGAAGCAGTAGCTGCCAGCTGAGAGGACCAGCAGGCAGTGAGTTCCGGGCATGCTAGGGTGGGCATATGCAGAGTATGCATGCCTGGTACTGCATCTTTTCTACTAGAGCTACAACTTGGAAGCCAGGTGCTGGTGGCACATGCTTTTAATCCCAGTACTCAGGAGGCAGAGGGGGCAGATCTCTGAGTTTGAGGCCAGGCTGGTCTATAGAGCTGGTCTATAGAGCCAGACAGTCAGGACTACGCAGAGAAACCCTGTCTCAAAAAAACCCAACAAAACAAAACAACAACAACAAACAACTTTGGTAAACACAAACTAGACTCTGCACTGAATCTGTTCTCAAAATCTCATGCCTTTTCTATAACAAGGTGACCCAAGATCATAAGTATCCCCCACCTCCTAGAAGCAAAATGAAGCTTTCTGTGTGAAGGTGCGTCATCCTCCCTATAGGCAGTGGCACCGCATGAGGGAGCCTGAGTACTATCAGGTTCTGCTCAGCAGGAAGCAGTACCACAGTAACAGGCCTAGCCACAGGGGACCAAGTTACCATGGTATGCAACTTAGGCCTCAAGCAGCTGTGCACAGGAAGAGAAGACCAGGTACTTGACTCAAGAATTCTAACCAAAGTGTAGAACTGAAAAAGAAAAAAAGAAAAGAAAAAAAACCACCTCGATTCTAATACAGTTTAATAGATTTAAAGTTTGATGTAAAAAAATGGTATATTGTAATATAGGTCAGAAGTCAATGGAGAGATAAAAGGAGAGACGTAGAAGGGAAATAAAAAGGTTTAACAGATGTAGCTGAACACTTAGAATAATATTTGAAATAAATATTTGAAAATAAAATCAATGAGTAAATGGATCCTGATTCAAAGAAACACACTTGGGGAGTCCCTGAGCCCCCCCAGAAGACTGGTATTAGTCAAGTGGATGGTTTGTTCCTTACAGGTGGTCGATGGCACTATGGTTAAGACAGAAGTTCTTACCTTTCTGTGACTGGCATGCTACTGAAGGCAGCAGAACAGAACATATGGAATTTGTTTAGACCGATACGGAGGTGGCAAGTCAGTGTTATACATTCAAAACAATTTGCCGTGAGTTAACTGTCCAAACGTGAAGGATCTGTGCAGACTCATTGTACTTTTTAGTCCACTTTCACCATGTTCAAAGTTATCCCCATAAGTTTGATATGATTATCGGTGAGCCTGCTTCCCTGCAAGACATCACCCAGCTTCAAGGACATTTTACTGTCAGTTTTAAGAGGGTAGAGAGGAAGACACATGCCTTCTTGCTCAGCCCGGGCACAATAAACATATCCAAGGTTAATGAAAACCCCAGCTGCATTCCCCTGTGCCAAGCACCAGTAACTGTCCCAGGAGAAGCTTCCCAGTTGGACCTAACCAGTTTACACATTAAATGTGTTGGTGTCGGGAACACGATGCACCCTAGACTCGTAATGTTTTTATTAAATCGCTTCATTTGGTTCAGCAGCATTCATTACGGTAAGTTTTCAATGCTGCACACTTCCAAAGAATGCTAGACAAAACAACAATCTAGAATTTCATTAGTTTAGACTCTATGAACTCTAGGTTTGGCACAGGTTGGGTACCCCTAATCCAAAATGCTTGGGACCAGAGTGCTTCAGATTTCAGGTACTCAGATGGGAATGACAACAGAGATTTTACCCACTGAGCATCCCTAATCCAAAATTCAAAACTAGAAATGTTCTGCAGTCAAAAGCTTTCCAAGCACTGACGGCGCAGCACACAGTATGTTTGGGGTGTCAAGTTCCAACTGACCCTTTTGTTGTTGCTTTGTTTTTGAGCCCCGTTCTCCATGGGATCCTGGTTGGCTCTGTTTCTCACTCCTCTCCCCTCTGCCTCCCCAGTGCTGGGACTGCAGGGCTGTGGACCTCTCGTAGCTCTCAAGTATGTGCTTTAATTTCTTTTAAAGTTGCGTGTGTATGTTTGTGCATGAGCGTGTGGGTGCACAGCCTGTGTGCAGGCCAGAGGTCAATGTCGTTGTCTTCCTCTACTGATCTTCTCCTCATTCATTTCAGATAGGATCCCTCCCTGGACCTGGAGCTCTTAAGTTAGGCTGGCTGGCCCTAAATTCTCAGGATCTGCCCCTCCCCCCAAGGCGAGGGCACTTTTATGGGGGCTGGGCTGGGATTCTTATGCTTGCCCAGCAAGCATTTTACCTCCCGAGCCATCCACCAGCCTTACACTCTAAAAAATTCTGTGAACTTAGAAACTTTGTTGTATGTAGGAGGAAAATGTTTTAACATACCCTCATGTAATGGACATAATTAAAAAAAAAAAAAACAGATTTCACCTTTAATGCAGCTTTGGCATCAGTGAGTATGTAAAGGTAGGTGGATATACCATAAAGAGGTAATATCACATTTAAAAGGCAGAGCACATTTTTAATAATAGAGGGGTTTATGTATCCTGGACCACAGATACTGCAGATCAAGGATTCTCTATGCAACACACACTTTCTGGGAGCTGTTCCATGGGAATTCCTGAGGATCACTGTCATGTTTATATCCTTTGCAATCTGTATCTGCAAATAACGGGATTCAGTGTGGAAACCAAGATAAGCCTTCCAAATATTGCAAATAAAAGTCCCAATGCCACACCAAGGTAAAAAATGATTTCTGGGTATGTTTTATCCTCTTCCAAGTATATATTACAAAGAGGTCCTCGTTAACAAGGCTTTACATGAAATCCTATGACCCTGTACTTCCTGCTGAGGGACTCCCACAAAACATGAAGGGAGAAAGATTCATACAAAACCGAAGGGCCAAACTTCATCTAAGTTAGTGATGGAGCCTATGCCATTCACTTTGCTATTGAGACTAGTTCATGAGAACGAATGTCACCTGAAAACACTGGTTATGCCCTGGCACAAAACTGTTACCAAAGAAAATAGGAAAATCTTGCAGTCGGCAGTCTTTCAGGACTGTCTTAGTTATGGCTTCTATTGCTCAAATAAACACCATGACCAAGGTCAACTTGGGGAAGGAAGGTTGATTCCACCTTCTGCTTTCAGGTAACAGTCCATCACTGAGGGAAGTCAGGGTAGGAGCTAAAGCAGGACCCTGGAGGCAGACTGAAGCAGAAGTCACGAGCACTGATGCTTACTGGCTTGCTCCTCCCTCGTCCCTTCTTCAGCCTGCTTTCTTATACCATCCAGGACCACCTGCACAGGGGGGCACTGCCCAGTGGACTGGGCCATTCCGCATCAATAATTAAACAAGAAGATAGCTGACAGACCTGCCTACAGGCCAATCTTACAGAGGCATTTTCTCAATTAAGATCCTCTCTTCCCAGATATGTCTAGGCTTGTGTCAAGTTGGAAACAAAACCAAACCAGCATGACGAGCTTGCTCAATTTGAACTCTAAGCAACAATGGAGACCTCTAGGTCTCCAACACTTTCTCTCCTTCTGCCTCCCATTCCCTCCCTGTCTACCCACTCTCTCTACAAGATCTACCCTCGGTGATCCGATCATGTCAGACAGAAACGCTATCTATAGCATTTTGAATGATCTATTACCAGTTATCAGAGACTGAATGAAGACACAGCGACAGCTACTCTCTGTTGCCAAACTGGGAAGCAGAGAGCTCACAGTGGAGCTGCTGCCTCTGCACGGCTGCACCTTGCCAGGGCTTTGGGTGCAGATGTCTCTGGCCTTCCTATGCAGATGTGCAAAGGCAGCCTTCCTCTACCGCCACACCAGCAGGCTGAGTTCAAAATGGCCCTTCTCTAAGGCTCTGAAATCCCAGGAACATAGGGGAACTAGAAAAACCTAATCCTGCCCCTCCCCCCGCCTATAGTGAAAAGGGGCAACAGAAAATGACAAGAAGGACATTGTTTCCAACTGTCCTTTCTTCCCTTTCTTACACACATGGCCTCTGACCATGAACCACAGGTGCATTGTTCCCCAGACCAACTCTGGCTGATGATCCAATTTCCTAAAGATGGGCAATAACCTAAGGGATTATTCTGCTGGGCTACAGAACCCTCAACAACTCAGAGCTCCAATCAATTTCATCTAGGTAATCTATCAAAATTATTTTCATATACTCCATAAAGCCAAGGAAGGTGAAAAGGACAAGGAAAAAGATAACTTTATCCTTATCCTTGTAATTCGCTTCAGTTCGGTAGGACTAGTGTCAAAGCGCTGAAATAAAATCAGAAAAACATTTTGGCAGTGGGCTGGGGAGATAGCTCAATGAGCAGAGCAGACCTGAGTTTGATCCCCAGCACTTACAAAAGCTGGATACAGCAACGTGCACCTTCAGTCCCAGTGCCAGGGAGACAGAGACAGGGGCGCGGGGGTTTGCTGGCCCAGTTTAGCATGCCAAACTGGTGAAAAAACCAAGGCAAAGAGTGACTGAAGATACCCAGAGTCAACCTGGCATGCACATGGGTGCATACACACACACACACACACACACACACACACACACAGGGCTGTAATATACTAAAGGTATGAGAAAATACATTATCTGTAGTCTATATTCAGTTAAATACAGTTTAAAACTATTTACTATGGGGTTCTGATATAGCTCAATGGTAGAGTGTCAGCCTAAATGGAATGTGCAAGGATCTCGGCATCAAGTGAACCAGTATCAAAAAGACACAAACAACTCTAGCAGCAGCAGCAGCAGCAGCAGCAGCACACCCCTACACCCCCACACAGAACACCCACTTTGCTGTCACAGGACTGTTCATAAAGCCTTTATTTTAAAATTATTTATTAAAAATTTTAGCCAGGTGTGGGGCTTACACCTGTAATTCTAGCACTTGGGAAACAGAGGCAAGAGTTCAAAGTCATTTTCTGCTACATAGTGATTTCACAGTCAGCCAGAGCTACATGGACCCTGTCTCAAAACCAGAATTTGTACATTGAAATTCATCTCATAATTACATCTTAATGCAAAAACACAGACTATCAGTATCAAGGTAAAAGAAAATAGGATGAAAATTTAAAAAAAAAGAATACTAACATCGGCGCGCACGTTATGTGCTTAAATAACTTTAAATTTAAAACCAACACAAAAGAAAACATCTGAGCAGACACCTGTGACTAGGGAAAGAAAATCACTCAGTTAGAGACTTGAGAGGTGCTTCACAAATCAGCATCCAGCCTTCTCTCTGTAAAATGAGCTTCAGGAACA